CTCCTATCCTCTTACTTGTTTCCCTGATAACTATAATCTTCAAATATTTAAATGTAATGTCAATCGACATCTTCTGATGACTTGACCCTGACCCCCGTCCTTCTCTTTACTCTTTTCTCAAACACCCCTCTTTTCACTTGCGCTCACACACTGTAATCCCTTAGTAAGCGTTAGTCTTACCCCTGCCTTGCTTGTGGTGAAATCATTAAAAAAAGATACCAATAGGTAATTGGTAGGGATAATTCCAAGCAGATCATTAATCAATATAGATAACAGAGAAATATAACAACAATTATATATATATATATATATATATATATATATATATATATATATATATATATATGTGTGTGTGTGTGTTGATAATTAGTAAAAGATAATTCCAAGGAGGACATTAATCAAAAGAGAGCCCAATGTAAATAATAGAGCAATATAATAATAAAAATAAAAATACAAACGATCCTTAAAATTCCGCTCGGTTATAATTTATTTCACACCGATATCTCGTTAATAAATAGAGTCAAGTTATCCAGACGAAAGGAATAGGGAGAGGAAAAAAGATAATAAGAAGAGGGAAAAGATTTAATATAAAAAGAGGAAGAAAGGAAAATATAATATATAAAAATAGAAGGTTTTTAAAAAAAATTGAAGAGGGAGAAAGAAAGAGGCAAAAAAATGGAGCAGGAAGAGAGAGGGAAGGAGAGAGTGAGAAAGGGAGGGAAAGAAAAGGAAGAAGAAAGAAATAGACATTAGCCGATAAGGTGACCTAGAAATAACTTTCTTCGTTAAGGACTGGACAAGTTAAACAAACCGGGCTAGGAAAGGATCGTTCAGATTCATAGTCGATACATTGTTATGTTATATACGACAGGGAAATACTTATTATAAAACCCAGGTTGTTTGTGTGTGTGTGTGTGTGTCTGTTTGTGTGTGTGTGTGTGTGTGTGTGTGTGTTCGTTTATATATGGGGTCGGATTTCTACATTTTTTGGACCGATTTCAACAAAACTTCACTTTTTTTTGGCAGGTAGTGTTTCTTATTGTCTTGCACACTTTTTCTTTTATTTTTACATTCAGAATGCTTTTAAAATTCCATTTACAAGACAATTGTTTATAATAAAATTCTATTCAATCGGTAGACTCATAACGATTGAAAACAATGTTTTGTTTGAGTTTGGGTTTGACCAATTCGTAAAAAAAAAAAAAGTAAAAAAAAAAAACTAATTAAGACATGCGTGTCCGTCAACCATAAACAATATTCTTTGTCAATTTTATTTTTCAGTCTTTATGATGGTCGATACTTGATCTATCTCTTACGATTACATCCCCGGACAACGCCAGGCTCTACTGCTAGTCTGATATAAAGAAAATAAAGTAAGTTAAAGTACATCATTCGGACTATGGTCCTCATCTTTGTCGCCATATTTATTACAAAGTTTTGGCCGTTGTACGCTCCAGCCTTCTTCAGGTGGTTGGAATATCGAACTGAACCCTTTATTTCGTTCACTGGGGTAGACTGTTCTAGTTCCACGTGCCATGTTTAATGGATGTCAGTTATCAGTTATCTCCAGTTAATTTCCCTCTGAAAGTTCTCCACTGCCTTAACCGGGTATGGAACGCACACTCTTTGGGTCCTGTCACTGGATATAACTAACGCCTTTATCCACTGTGCCACGTGTCTTTGAGTATGTTAGTAAGTTAGATAAAGGCTAAAATATTCCAAATATACAAAACATGCATAAAAAATTAATGAATATATATGTGTGTGTTCGCGTGCGCGTTAGTGTGTGGTGCGTGTGTGTGTGTACCTTGATATGAATGTAGATATAGTTATGAAGATTTAGCAAGTCAAGTGTGAGACATAACTTGTGTAAGAGTTTAAATTAAATTTATTGACATTATTCATGCGTAACAAAAAATGTTTCTTTTAACTGAGAGCTAAATTTCTTTTGTTGATATTTTCCGTTTAAAAACGCTCAACAAATTTCCTTCGAAGAACATCCAGTATGTGAACAAACAATGCGTTTCAAATACGTTTTATGGGGCGACGGAGTTTTGTTTTTTTTTTTTATTTCCGATCCAGCCGTCCACATTTGACTTTTGGGAGTTGAGCAAACGAATCTTAGATAAGAAAGAGATTAAATAAATGTCGCTTCACCCCCCCTCTCAGATAATCGAAGAATTCTTGGCGCATGAAACATGAACAAATGCATTTTTGTGGACACATATGTAGGTGTATGTACGTGTCTTTATCGTTGTCTGTGTGTATGGTAACTTAGAGGATCCTTTCATTGTGTATGTATGTCTTTTTTTGATTGTTTGTTTTTTGTTTGTTTGTTTTTTGTTTTTTCGTAAAGGGTCGTGGAGTTATTTTCTGTCTCGTCACTTTTTGTGTGTGTATATATCTAAATAAGTCTGCGTGCGTAGGTATTATAATCTGACTGTGTATGTATTGTCTTTTGCAAGATGTCATCCTCGCTTGCCTATATTTAGAATTCAAATGTATCTATGTTGTCATGAAGCTCTGAAAAACATTTGATCTTAACGTTTATTCCAACTTAATTTCAATAAAAAAAAAATAAATAGAATGGCATATGTATTTTTCTTTTTTCCTCAGTAATTTTATAATTTTAAACTTAATAGAGATTAATTTTTAAAATGGGTAAATTTAATCTTTTATTGCAACTTTTATCGTATAATGTAATACTTATTAGTTATAATAAATTCTATTTTAGTCTAACCCCAACATTAACGCATTAATAATATAACCATTAATTATAAACTTAGTTCGTAGTCAAATTTTTTGAATTCTCGTATACTTGTATTTTGATTGGTCATTGCAGCTTATGTAACAGCGTTTCCCCTTGCAAGGGGTAGTTAATTGATTTGAACCTTTTAAAACCCTTTATTCTACATTCAACATCATCACTTGATAAGACACCAGAGGTGTTGAAACAAAATGGCTATGACATATTTATGTTAAAATTTTCTAATAAATAATTATATATATATATATATATAAATAAAGAACAGCAAGATATATAATCCGGTGTTCTTATAGATATTTTTATTTTTACAAAATAGTGCTCAATGTAAATTTACAGAGCATTAATATTATAAAATAATTGATTTAAAATATGTTGTTTTTTTTAAACCTTGGAAACATGAGTTTTGTTTTAGCTGTGTATTTAAAACCCAGTAATTTTAAAAGTTACTCCAAAATTCGCTTGAGGATGAAATGGAACTAATGCCTTTAATTTAATCACAAAATTAAATTCGTGGCTTTCTGCTTCCATTTTTGAAACATGGTTAGAACTGTGTAGCGAAAAAAACATTTTAAATCAATTAATTTATATATATATATATATATATATATATATATATATATATATATACATATATATATATATATATATATATATGAATAGTGGTAGTCGCTTGAAAAAACAGGTATTTCGGCTTGTAGTAGAACAAACTACTACCCAAGAAAAAATGAGGAATAAAACAAGGAAAGAACCAAGAAGATGAAATTGAGGCGAAAACAATCGTCCAGATTTCAAGCTCAGACTCCAAACAAGCGAGTAAAAATAACTACGTAAAGTGCTCAGTACACGAAGTAGAGCAAAACCTAAAATAAGCATAAAGAGCCAGGTAAACCTACCTAGGTTTCACCTACACGTATCGTCAGGGTAACTGATGATCCGTGTAGGTGAAACCAGTAGTCAGAACTTCTTTTAGCTTTTATATATATATATATATATATATATATATATATAAATATATATATTCATACATAGAATCATATGCTGCCTTTAATATGTTAATATATATATATGTGTGTGTGTGTGTGTGTGTGTGTATGTATATAAATATTTATATGTACATATAACTGAAAAAGAATAAATATAGGTAGGTATACGAGCAAGTTGATCGTATATAACACACACACATATATATATATATATATATATATATATATATATATATATATATATATATATATATATATATATAAAACATTTTTTTTTTATAAACGTTCTTTTATAGATACAAATATTTAAATGTTTGTTATAATAAACAGTATTAAATAACATTTACCAGTCTGAATGCCGAAATTTTCATTATTCGTCGCTGGATTCGAACCTGCATCCTATACGGAACCGTCATTTACGCTGACGATGCCTTAACGATCGGCCTGAAGCATGCGTTCGGTAAACATGAGTGAATTTACTTTTGTGGCCGATCGGTAAGGCGTCAGCGTAAAATGACGGTTTCCGTATGGGATGCAAGTTCGAATCCTGTCAAAGAACAGATATTTTCTATGAAAATTTCTCGGACATTCAGGCTGGCAAATGTTATTTAATACTGTTTATTATAAATAGAGCATTTACTTAAATACTTGTATCTATAAAAAAATGTTAAAATATAAAAAATGTCTTTAATAAATAAATTGTTTGACTTTTGTCCATTTCTAATATATATATATATATATATATATATATATATATATATATATATATATATATATATATATATGAGATGTAAGATTTAAAAGTCAAAACAGTTATTTTCATATGGTGCTCAGTATTAAAATAGAGCATTGATAATATTATTTATATATTTAGAAGAATAGATAGATGAGATAAGGGACAATTGCAGTTAAGTAATTCTTTTGTATATAATTGGATTGGTTTATTTTATAATTGGATTGGTTTATTTTAATTATATATATTTATTTTAGGCCATATCAAAATCTATGGGTTATTTAATGCCGACAAAATTTTTTGTTCCTGGTAATGTTTTGTTTTGGCAAAGATCTGTTTTTGGTAATATTTTCCCTTCAAAATTGTATTGCTGGTAATAATTTTTTTTCAAAACATTTCTGGTAATAGTTAACTATTTGCCTATAGCTGGGACCCTAACAGATACTACCACCCCGGGTGCGGGTGGACCTGAGAATACCAGCAATTAAGAGTTGGTTCAACACTCTTCAAAACCTTCTGATCAGAGGCCTTGCTGTAGGAAGTAGTTTATCGTCTTACAAAGGACGCGGGTGCAGTTTATCATCTTACACAGGACCCGGATGCAGTTTATCGTCTTGCAAAGGACGTGGGTGGATTTTATCGTCTTACAAAAGACGCGGATGCAGTTTATCGTCTTACAAAGGAAGCGGGTGCAGTTTATCGTCTTACCCAGGACCCGGATGAAGTTTGTCGTCTTACAAAGGACGCGGGTGCAGTTTATCGTCATACAAAGGACGCGGATGAAGTTCATCGTCTTACCCAGGACCCGGGTGCAGTTTATTGTCTTACAAAGGACGCGGGTGCAGTTTATCGTCTTACAAAGTACCCGGATGCAGTTTATCGTCTTACAAAGTACCTGGATGCAGTTTATCGTCTTACAAAGGACCCGGATGCAGTTTATAGTCTTACCCAGGACGAGTTTACGATTGCGTTTCTGGTTCTGTCGTCTCTGAACTTTTGATGTCTCAGCCTGACCTCTGAAATTTTGTTTTGTATTATCATTATTATTATTATTATTATTATTATCATTATTATTATTATTATTATTTCCCAGTAAGTGTAGGTAGACATTACTATTGTCCGGCTCACACGCCTCCTCGGTGTTTTGAACAAGGGTAGAGGTTTATCCTTGTTGCCTGTTTAGGATTGGATTTCCGTTTCCTTCTAGAGGATACTTCAACCCTGTACTTCTAACGTCTCTGCCCGATCACTGAAATGTTGTAAATTTATTAAATCTTAATCTCTTCAATTTTAGAACTAGCAATAATCCTTGCCCTTCGTTGCGCTCAAACAAAACCACAGGGTAACACTCTTTCGCGAGTGGTTCTTGAGATTTGTATTAGGAGAATATTAGAAAGAAAAGAAATGTAGATAGGAAGAGACGGAGATAAGATAGATAGATAGATAGATAGATAGATAGATAGATAGATAGACTGAAACAGAAAGTTAGTTAATAAGTTAGATAGATAGATAGATGATAGATAGATAGATAGATAGATAGATAGATAGATAGATATGACAAGACCAAGAGAGAGCTAGATAGATATATAGATAGATATGAATAGATTGAAATAGAAGATAGATAGATAGATGGATAGATAGATATGAGAAGACTGAGGTAGATATATATATATATATATATATATATATATATATATATATATATTGATAGATAGATAACTATGAATAGACTGAAACAGATAGATAGATAGATAGATAGATAGATAGATAGATAGATAGATAGATATGAGAATACAGATAGATAGAGATAGATAGATAGATAGATAGATAATGAGAAGATAGATAGATAGATAGATAGATAGATATGACAAGACCGAGAGATAGCTAGATAGATATGTAGATAGATATGAATAGATTGAAATAGACAGATAAATAGATATGAGAAGATAGATAGATAATAAAAATACAGATAGATAGATAGATATGAATAGATTGAAACAGAAAGATAAATAGGTATGAGAAGATAGATAGATAGATAACGAAAATACAGATAGATAGATAGATAGATAGATAGATAGATAGATAACGAAAATACAGATAGATAGATAGATAGATAGATAGATAGATAGATAGATAGATAGATAGATAGATAGATACGGACAGGCTCGGATAGATAGATAGATAGATAGATAGATAGATAGATAGATAGATAGATAGATAGATAGATAGATAGATAGGGACAAATCGAGATAGATAGATAGATAAGAACAGATCGAGAAAGAAAGAAAGAAAGAAAGAAAATGAGATAGATAGATAGATAGATAGATAGATGAACAGACTGAGATAGATAGATAGATAGATAGATAGATAGATAGATAGATAGATAGATGCGAACAGACTGAAAAATCGATAATATGATAGATATGCTTTACAAAATCACAGACGAGGACTTTTATGAAATAACAAAACACCCAACTCCCAAGCCCAGCCAAATAAAAAGCACGTGTAATTAGAATGGAAAATAATGACATAATCAATCTGTTGAGTTTTCACACTACGGAAAACAAATGTTTTCGAAGGAAATTCCCATTGGTATTAGGCACTACCATTTAATGGACTTCGGTAGTTTAATTTCCTGAATGTTTCCTCTATAGAAACGGCTAATTTTACCCTGTCTTTACTTTGATATTCGTAAAATTAGCCGTTTGCATCCAGGAAACATTTGGCAATCATTGACTAAATAATTAGATTTTTCTGTCGGTTTAAATTTATAAAATCGTTCTATTAAAAACAATTTTTCTGGTTAATAGGCTTCTAAAATCCATTAGCTGTTATCGCTCTTTTTAGAACTGGTGTGGGCTTTCCTTCCTAATCTTGTGTTTAATTTAGTGTGTAAAGTCAACATCTTGATAATGTTTTTATTTTCTCTTCCCGTGACATGTGTTATGCAATTTAGGTGTTTGTTCTTTTCGAATTTCTCATACGCTTGAAGCCATTTTTAATTACTGAGCTGAGAAAATGGTTACCTTAATTCCCCATGTATAATACGTCCTCACCTATAATACGCACGCCTAAAATTGTGCTGAAAGTGTGGGAAAATGCTTCTACTCACGCATAATACGCACCTCTTTTTTGGTAATTAAACCTTATAAATTGTACCTCTCCAATTTCATTACGGCCATTGTTTCCTACGCTTATTTAAAAATGGTTTTAAACATAGAATAATATTATTTTAATTTAGTTTTATGATAATTCTTATTTTATTTTACATTTGTAAGTATTGTTACGTCCATATGCATGTATTTGACATCCTTATGGGGTCAAAATCGCCGAATGTTAATGCCATATTGTCATATGTTTGGGGTGAGTAGTCATTTCGCAAGTGAAATCGACCTATGAAACGGCATTATTTTAGAGATTTTTTGTAGTTGTGCATAATATGCACCCCTAATTTTATTCATCATTTTTTTAGAAAAAGTGCGTATACATGGTGCTAGCACCCACGTCAGGGTGAACCGAGGGACACCAGCTGTTAAGAGTTGATTCCACGCTCCTCAAAACCTTCGGATCAGAGGCCTTGCTGCTGGATGTAGTTTATCGTCATACCCAGAACGAGTTTACAATTAGGTTTCTGGTTCTTTCGTCTATTTCGGTATTTCTAGCTGCATTGAAATTTTTGACGATCAAAGTTGACTGGGAAGCAAGAAGCTAAAAGAGAGTTCCACAAGTAAGAAGTGCGATAGAAGAAACTGTTAGCATAGAACTTACGGTTCTGTCTAAACTTTTTTACTGTAAAATGAGTAAAACTTGCTTCCACTCTAGTACTGTCCTTAAATTCTTAATGTCTAGGTCCGAAATAGGAAATGTTCTTCAGAACAATTACCATGAAATTGTTTATAGAAATTGCACAGGGAAGATATGGTACGGCGGTGGGAAAATGAATGAAGCCCAGATACCAGGTTAGGACCAGTAATATTGCAGATATTGTAATGGAAATCTTAGCCGATTATTTAACATACAAAATTCATTGACCGAACTTAACAGTTAATGTCGGTTGAAATTTACAAAATCTGCCTCTAAAGCGAATTCTTCGGGCAAATAAGTTTTTCAAGTCCCCTAACATCAATCTTATATATATATATATATATATATATATATATATATATATATATAGAGAGAGAGAGAGAGAGAGAGAGAGAGAAGAAGAACAATCTATTAAACTGATGCTAACGGACATAACCCAAAATTAGGCGCGAAATAGGGTTTCCTGCGCAAAGGACAGACGCCAAATCGATCACAGAGCGGACCACACGTGTTTTGGCTTACTCCAAGGAAGAGGAGATGCAGACGCCGAGAAGATCCGGGATGAAGAAGACGTGCCTCGATCCCCGTTCCAAGTTCTCCACTGCCTTAAAGGGGTATGGAACTCACAGTCTTTGTGTCCTGTCACTGGATCTAACTAACGCCTTTATCCACTGTGTCGTGTGTCAATACCCGGTTAAGGCAGTGGAGAAGTTGGAGAGGGGAATTAACAGGAGATAACTGATAACTGACATCCATTAAAACATGGCACGTGGCACTAGAACAGTCTACCCCAGTGAGCAAAATAAAGGGTTCAGTTCGACATTCCAACCACCTGAAGAAGGCCGGAGCGTACAACGACCGAAACGTTGTAATAAATATGACGATAAAGATGACGATAGTCCGAATAATGTAAATAGTGTACTTAAAACCCCACTGTTATTTTTAAGATACACTCGCCTCCCTATCCTCCTTTAGATTTAAGTTACATATTTAAAATATCCTTACATTTCCGTCCTTCTTTTCATTTTTTCATCCTCCTTTTTTTCTTCTTCTTTCTTCTCCATACCCTCTTCCTTTCTATTACACTCAATGTCATGTGTTTCGATTGTCATGAGCCTGTTAATTTATTTTTGAAAAATAATAATCTAGCGTTCTTTGTGTTTTTTTTTAAATAAAGCGTTAAGGTGGTCATTTTTAAAAAGATCGCCTGAAGAGAACATCAGGTCGAAACCATGTCGCGTATTTTAATTGAAATCCTGATTTTTAAACTTAAAAAGCTCTACATCTTATTTTTAATTTTATTTTATATTTCGCACGTGTACTGAGCACATTTTAATTCTTCTTCCTGATCGAATTCAACTCTGACCATTAACCTTACATATATATATATATATATATATATATATATATTTAATGAAAAACAGACCACTTTAAGGTACCATTACAATAATTTATTTCACCAAAATCCTTTTTAAAAATCGAATTGTTTGCGAGATGGATGTCTCGCCATTTAAAATCATTAACCTTTGCATTAGTTTTGTGTGAATAATTCATGTATTTTGTAAATTGATTGCACGTTTATTGTAATTTAAATAAGTGATCCATGTGCGACTTTTTTGTTAATAAGTGCGACATTACTGTAATTATTGAACAATATAGTTCATGCCACTTTTTCAGTAAAATTTACTAGTAAAATAATTTGTTCATTACCATATTTGGTATAAACGCAAACATTTAAAAAAAGAAATTCAAATATCAAACTCAGCGTTGCTTTGGCGCGTTCAAAAACCAATATCTCATTTTCAATAGCATTTCGGATACAATACACATATTTTTCGATGTCCTCTTATTACTAAGAGAAAAAAACAAGAACAACATCTATTATATACCTGAAGATGTCTGTATGAACAGACGAAAGCTTGTGTAAAAATAACAACTAATACGGCAGAAATTTATATGAACAAGGATCAATTCATTCATAACGGATCTAAGGTTTTGTGTAATATTTGAATTGTTTGCAAGATGGATGTCTCGCCATTTAAAATCATTAACCTTTGCATTAGTTTTGTGTGAATAATTCATGTATTTGTAAATTGATTGCACGTTTATTGTATATATATATATATATATATATATATATATATATATATATATATATTCACTTCAAAATGTTTTCTTTCACTCTTTTTCTTCCTGAAACCTTTCTCTCTCTCTCTTTCTCTGATTGTTCTTTCTTTTCTCTGTCGCTCTTTCTCTCCTTTTCTTTGAAATTGCTTTCTTTCTCTCTTGGTGAAAATGCTCTCTTTCTTTCTTTCTTTCTTTCTTTCTTTCTTTCTTCATCTCCTGGTAAAAATACTCCCTCTCTCTCTCTCTTTCTCTCTCAAAAATTACTCACCCGAAATCTTTTTTTTCTTTTCTAATTGTTTCTCTCTCTCTTTTTTTTTCTTTCTTTCTTTCTTTCTTTCTTTCTTTCTTTCTTTCTTTCTTTCTTTCTTTAAAATTGCTTTCTTTCTCTCTTGGTCTTTCTCTTCTCTCGAAAATACTTTCTTTCTCTTTTTTATTGAAAATGCTCGCTATCACCATTTCTCTTTCTCAATCTCTCCCTTTCTCTCACCATCTCTGTCCCTTTCTCTCTCCCTCTATCTATCTATCTATCTATCTCTATCTCTCTGTCCATCTTACTCATTCGAAAATGTTTTCTTTCACACTTTTACTCACCCGGAAATCTTTTATGTTTCTCTCTCTCTCTTTCTCTCTCTCTCTCTCTCACTCTCGCTCTCTCTCTCTCTCTCTCTATTTCTTTCTTTCTTTATCTCCTGGTGAAAATGCTCTCCCATCTCTCTCTCTCACTCTTTTACTCGCCCGGAAATCTTTTATCTTTCTCTCTTTCTTATTCTCTCTCTCTCTCTCTCTCTCTTTTTCTTTCTTTCTTTCTTTCTTTCTTTCTTTCTTTCTCTTTTGGTGAAAATGATTTTCCATTCTTTCTCTCCTGGTGAATGTTTGACTTCTTCTCTCTCTCCCGTCGTCCTTTTCATAGTGACCATCTCCCCCTCTATAAAAAAAAAACACGCTTTCCTTTTCTCTCTTTCTCCTACTGCTTAAGACGAAGATGTATCAATGTTAGGTAATACGAACAGATTATTATGAGTATCAGACAATAAATCCTAGCCACCTTCATCTTTTGAACTTCTCACCCATAATCAACAATGATTTATTGGCATCGAATTCTCACGAGATCTCTTCCAATTTCTTGCCTGTTTCCCTCACCGACATCATTCATGGGATTAAAACTCTTTCTCTTTCTCTTTAACTCCGTTTTAAAGTCGCATATAATCCTAAACAAAACAACAGGAGTCCAGGGTAAGACGATAAACTACGCCCGCATCCCGGGTAAGACGATAAACTACATTTGCGTCCTGGGTAAGACGATAAACTACACCTGTATCCTGGGTAAGACGATAAACTACATCCGCGTCCTGGGTAAGACGATAAACTACATCCGTATCCTGGGTAATACTATAAACTACGCCTCCGTCATGGGTAAGACGATAAACTGCATTCGCGTCCTGGGTTAAGACGATAAACTACATACGTATCCTGGTTAATACAATAAACTACGTCCAACAGCAAGGCCTTTTGTCAGAAGAATTTGACGAGCGTGTAACCACCTCTTATTTGCTGGTGTTCCCAGGTCCACCCTGACCCGCAGTAGTAGCACTTGCTAGGGTGCCATATATGGGCAAATAGTTAACCACCAAACTGGGGTCAAAATGAGAGTGTAAATATAGGTTTTCTTACCAGCAATACATTTTTTTGTTATTACCATCAATAAAATTATTAAGAGTAATAAAATTTTACCAGGAATAATTTTTTGGAAATAATATTACCAGCAATATATTTTTTGAAGGAAAAAATATTACCAGAAATAAAAATCTTGTCGGCATTAAATAACCCAGTTGAGGTTGATATACCGTAAAAAAAAAACGAAACAAACCAAACCAAATAAACCAACTGCAAGGCGAGTTCATATGTTTGCAAAAAGGGTCTTTAATTTATAAATGTGAGATGACGTATTGAATAAGATCCTGTTCTGAAATCAGCCTCAAGTGTTTCAAGGACAATTATACTTATGGTGTTGATGAGATGAAGCTTTTTTCTATCTCTTAAGCTCGTGAGCTATCTCAGAATTTTATGTCTCTCGCTAGCAGTCTAACATTCTCTTTCTCTCTCACACTTCGTATATAAATATATATATATATATGTGTGTGTGTGTGTGTGTGTGTGTGTGTTACAAGCAATAGGACTTCAAATTACCTCATAGTTTTACCTCAAAGCGTACAAAACGTTAAAATATATATACAGAGTTATATTTAAAATACAAAATCATATTCCAAAAACAAGTTATATTTAAAAATAAGATAGATTTAAATAATATATATTTAGATAATAATATATTCAATAAATAGTAATAATATTAATTTTAACAATATATTTCAATAATAATTTAATATATATATATATATATATATAAATGCAATGAGAACGAATGAATTTTTACCGCCGCCTAATGAGAGGCTATGTTGCATCGAAACATTAATGCAGTTTTTAGCGGAAATATATATGTTCGAATGTAATAACCTATAAAAAAATAATAAAGATACATACATTTACATATATATATATATATATATATATATATATATATATATATATATATATATATATATATATATATTATGTATTTGGGTATGAAAGACGACTGAGAAGGAACTGCGATTAAGCTTTTTTAGTCAAATTTCCTTGAGTTGGCATAAGTGCTTTCTTTTCTGAACTTTATGTGTGTAAAAACATCCAGATGTTCTATTTATTCAAGCGCTTTCGGCTATTCTATTAGTCATCGTCAATGATTTTCTTTTACTCTACATGTGTATTTTTATATATGCGTATGTATATTCATGGGAATGTTTTCTGTTTTTATTTTCAAACACGGTCAGCACGTTGTGTCCATTTTCATAGTATATTATTTTTCTTTATTATCATTAATGCTTCCATTATTTGTAGCCATTTTTACATGTGAATGTGGCTATTATTTTCGTGTTTTCTACGGGTATGATACGAAAGTAGTTTGGTAGGTTCCCGTGTGTGTGTAAATCGGTCCTAATTGAGCTATGACCGGAGAGATGCAAGGTGAGTCTTCTTGATAGGCATGTTGTGGTATGTCCAATATAATTATTCATTAATTTGTTTTCTTAAGGCACATGTGTGCTTATAAATAATATTGTTCCTCTGTAATTCAGATCTTGCAGGTGATGATATTGACGAGGGGGTTAGCTCTTTTAAATTGTTTATAATTATTTTTTAATATTTTTTTTATAATGTTTGTAAGGGAAAGCAGGAAGAATCGTCTTTCATGAAGAAATACACATCACCAGTTGACTAGAACAAGAAATTTAAAATAATTATCGATTCTAAAAAGAATTAAAACGTCTAACAGCAGAGTCAATAACAAAAACCCATCTGCAATATGCAAATTATAGAGGATAAATATTTTTTATGATTTTAGATGACTCTAGAGAAATGATAATGACCAGAAGAATATCCAACAGCGTTCGGATATATAGACAGATTTTACACGCCATGTACAGGAAAGAAAACACTTATATGAACAAAAGAAAAATTGAATAATGGCTTAATCACTGTACCTTTTCTGTGGTCTTTAATTAAATTTGTATATATATATATATATATATATATATATATATAAAGATAAATAAACGTTTTTTGGTTGTAATGGATTTATTCAGATATATAGACAAAAATTTTAATGTGGAATATTCTCGACATGAGACATTCTGTTTGTGTGTTGGCAATCCGAATGTTCTTTACAATGAAAGAAAAACAATTATTTATCCAACATCAGAACATTTTTAAAGAAAATTTATCACGCTCTTTAATTATTTTAATAATATGTATGGAAAAGGGTTTAATCTCCAGGTCTGTATGTAAAATTGAATAATATTTTTAACAATAAATCCACATTACAACCAAAAACGTTTGCGGCAACTTTCACTTAATATACATACTTTTTCTTTATATATCTATTTTACATATATATATATATATATATATATATATATATATATATATATATATATATATATATATAGAGAGAGTTGGAAAAAGAAATTTAACGGAAAATGACAAACAAGGTACGCCTACAGTTAAGCTTTTTATTTAATTTTCTTATGTTGAACAAAGCTTTTCTAGACAAAAAATTTTTGTCCAACTGTTTTATATTTCCTGAGCACTTTCGTAGCTATTATCAAGGATGATTTTTTTATTGAATGAATTTAAAGTAGTTGTATATTTTTTAATTCTCTTTTAATATTGTTCGTTTAATGATTTGGCTTTTCTTTTTTATTATTAAATTCCATTATTTTTTCGACGTTTTTTTTTTACAGGTGGATGCAGTTCATATATTTGTGTTTTCTATTAGTATGTTTCTGGAGTCTGGTAAGTTTGTTGTTTGTTTTTAAAATGGGTTTAATGGGCTAAACAGATAGGGTAACAAAAATATCATCGTTGGGCAACCGATGAAAGTGGAACATAGTTCCTTCAGATTTTTATATATATATATATATATATATATATATACACCCACACACTTATTAAAATTTTATAATTAATTTTTTCACCAGATGTTCAATGTGAGA